TGCTCTCAGCTGCATGGTTCACCCCCACCCCGGGCAGCCAGGAAAAGAGCACGAACGGAGAATCACCAACCAACGCAAAAAGACTGGAGGCCCCCTCCACCTCCCCTGGCCGCCCCTGTTCCCGTAGGACAGGCCACCTGCTGTGTCCACGAGGAGTGCCAACACCCGCCCTGCTCTGGGCCGAGCCCCCCCACCCCGGCCTGTAAGTGAGATTGCACATTAACTACTGTAAGGAGAGGAGCGCACTGGGAAATGTGAACATGAGAACATCAGTGACACTGATGAGAATAAACTAAACGCCTTTGTAACAGCCCTGCTGCATGCTGCTCTCTCTAAGGGGGGTTAAGGCTGGGAAGGGATGCTTACTAAACATGGTCTCCCATTCTTCTGCAAAGCAACACCCCCACTACCCAGGACTTCACATTGACAAGTTGCAGCAGAGTCATGCTCAGGGTACACTTGGGAGTGGCCATGCCGAATGTCACATTGGAATATCCATCTGTGTGAGGGGGAGGAACAGCATGTTCTTTTCAGATGGGAACACTGAGGTATAGACCCAGGCCACCAACGGGTTCTACTTCCACTTATAACACCCTTCAGGCTACCCCAATGTGTAGACTCACAACACTTCCCCAAGGTTGTTCCTGCACATGTGACCCTAAATCCTGCATGGGCATCCCATGGGAGCCCCTCCAAAGCTAGAAGGGTAACAGCTCCATCGTATGGGCTACATGGCCCACTAGCTGCCTTGTGGTCTGACATCCCCACCCCAGGGACAAGTCCCAAACACACCCCTTACTCCATTCTTCTGAGCCAACACAAAAGTTAAGATGTCAAATCTAGCTGTAGGGTCCTAAGGATATGAAATGACAAAAGATGAACCAAATAAAGACATGGAAGTGCCTTAGGGTTCCATTTGTTCTTAGTTGTTTCAAGCAGTCTGGGAATGTTATTTACTTATCTGAGGGATCCCATCAAGTAAACAAAAAATCTTGGCTAGGGGGTGGACAAGGAGGCTACATCTCCACCCAGGCCAGGTCCTTAGACCCCACGATACAAGGGGAGCTCCAGATGTCCAAGGGAATGATGACTGAGTAACATGGTTGAGGTTGACCCTTGGATAACATGGGTTACCTGTGCAGTTGAGAATCGTGTATAACTTTTTTTTAATATATCTTTATTGATTTCAGAGAGAGGAGAGGAAAGAGGGAGAGAGGTAGAAACATCAATGATGAGAGTCANAGTCCCAAACACACCCCTTACTCCATTCTTCTGAGCCAACACAAAAGTTAAGATGTCAAATCTAGCTGTAGGGTCCTAAGGATATGAAATGACAAAAGATGAACCAAATAAAGACATGGAAGTGCCTTAGGGTTCCATTTGTTCTTAGTTGTTTCAAGCAGTCTGGGAATGTTATTTACTTATCTGAGGGATCCCATCAAGTAAACAAAAAATCTTGGCTAGGGGGTGGACAAGGAGGCTACATCTCCACCCAGGCCAGGTCCTTAGACCCCACGATACAAGGGGAGCTCCAGATGTCCAAGGGAATGATGACTGAGTAACATGGTTGAGGTTGACCCTTGGATAACATGGGTTACCTGTGCAGTTGAGAATCGTGTATAACTTTTTTTTAATATATCTTTATTGATTTCAGAGAGAGGAGAGGAAAGAGGGAGAGAGGTAGAAACATCAATGATGAGAGTCATTCATCGGCTGCCTCCTGCACGCCCTGACTGGGGATCGAGCCCGCAACCGGGGCATGTGCCCTGACCAGGAATCGAACCTTGATTGCCTGTATCCTAGGTCGACACTCAACTGCTGAGCCACACCCGGCCGGGCCTGTGTATAACTTTTGACTCCCCTAAAACTTGACTAATAGCCTACTGTTGACCAGAAGCCTTATTGATAATACAGTCAATGAACATATTTTGTTTATGTACCATATACTGTATCCTTACAGTAGGCTATGGAAAAGGTTATGAAGAGAATCAAGGGGTATACATTTACAGTATTTATTTTTAAAGTCATAAATGGACCTGCACAGTTCAAACCTATGTTGTTCAAAGGTCAACTATACTACATTTCACAGGATGACGGGTATGTTTCAGTAAGACCAGCCCTTTTGGAGTCCTAAAGTCTAGCTTCAGCTGTCAGAAAGGGGTTTTGAGGACCAGCAGCATTGCCAACAAAAATCCAGAGGATGCTGATTCCCAGAAGCACATCTCTTAACCCCAGAAAGACTTAGAAGTAAGTGTAGAATGGATCGAGAGAACCCAAACCATAGCATAAAAAAGGAATCTACATATATGGTTCTTTTGACAAATTGGCCTGATATAACATCCTTGTAATATACAGCACTTTACAACCTGTATGTGAGATGCGTGGTTCCCATGCCTGATTAATGTGGGGAATGGAAACATCTAATGATATCTAAGGTTTGTGGCACAAGTTTACCCAGCTTATGGGAATCATTTCAGGCTCTATGGCAAAGCCCTTAAAATTTACTAACATGCCTTGTTAGAGTGATGCATCACAGAGGGAACAAGAAACCAGGTGTGCAGTGCAGCCCAGCATTACACCTCAGAAGTGACCACTCAGCTCCATGGCTGAAGCATTTACCTACCTGGGACACAGAACAGGCAGAAGATATTTAGGTTGAACTTCAAAAGCTCAGGACACATTCATGGTTTGAAATTCCAATGGTAATAAAATTATCCATCATGAAAACCAAGAAATTAACAGAATGATATTTTCTGCACCCAGTACTGGTCATTGAAATCCCTAACATGCACACGTGTACACACACACACACCTGGGCCATAGTGTGTGCAAACAAGGCTTAGAGTTCCCATTCAGGAGGCAGCCACGTTTCAAGTCAACATACCATATGATATATGTATAAAAAAGGCTGGGATTTTATTTCTAAGTTGGCACATGTAGAAGGCACAGGGGCGAATAAATGGCTTTGGGGCACTAGAAATAGAAATGGGTGGGGTGTGTCTGAAGTCCCCCTACCTCCACCATCCCCTAAGTGCACTTAAGAGAGGACCAGTGGCGGGGCCTCTGACCCAGGGCCCTTTGGGTCCCACTGGCTCTAGGTGAGAGTCTTGGGACAGCTCCCCAGGCATGACACCCTCCTCCCAGGGGGCAGGGCCCTGCAAGCTCCCCCAGCTTGGAGCAGCCCCCTGGGAGGGCCAGGGTCAGAGAGAGAAGAGCAGGATGAGAACCAGGAGAAGTACCCCCAACAGCACCACAATTGCACACCACTGTCGGCGGTCTGGGGGTGAGAGGGTGAGAAGTCATGGGGGAGGCGGCACCACCCCATCCCCCCCAGCCCCAAATTGCCTCCTCCAGAGGACTCACCACTTGTCATGTGGGATACTTTGGCCATCTTCCTGAGGACCCCATCCATCCGGGACTGGGTGTGGTCCATCTCATGAGCAAAGGCATCCAGCATGCTGCCAAGACCAAGATGGTGTCAGCCCTTAAAGGGCAGCTGGCCTCAAGCTCCCAGCCCACCCTCAGGGTCCTGGCCTCACATGCCCTGCTCATCCAGCTCCTCCCCAACGCGGCCAGACATGTGTTTCAGAACCCGGATGCTCCCAGACACCATTTCCAGCTGTTCATCCTGTTGGTCCATGATCAGCTGCAGATTGGAGATGTGGGAACTGCTGTCATCAGGAGGCCCTGAGCTGTCCACATGCTCCTCCAACCCACAATTCTGGCCACCCACACAAACCTGCTGCGTAGCCTGCTGCTCCTCAATGTAGCGAGAAGTGGCCGAGACCATGCTGGCATCCAGCAGGTCACTGGATGACTTCTGGGCAGCTGGCTTGCAGGTCAGCATCTGGTGGGGCACAGACCACAGGCTCAGGGAGGGACACCCACTCACCACAGAGCCAGACAAAGGCAAATCTAGATGGTGGTTAATCAGTAAGTCAGTCTCTGAAGTGGGATGGCCTGGGATCCCCAGACCCACTTAATAGCAAGGTGACTGACCCCAAAGCCATACCACTTGTATCAGTTACATACCTCCCTGTGTATCAGTTTCCTCATCTGTAAAATGGGGAGAACTACAGTCCCTGTTTCCTCAGGTTGGAATGAGAAAATGAATTACTTATTATCATATAAATAGGTGTATGTAAGAATTTGGACTTTAATCCCCAAGACATGTGGGCACTGCTTCAGGACTCTAAGCTGGTGTGGGCCTCTGCTCCCCCAACCTCCCAGATCCCATGTGGACTTATGATGGGATGAGGAGAGACTGATGGTTTCACAACATGCAAACAATGGACATACAACACAGAAGGGAAGGGTGTACAGACAGGCAGCAGGGAGCATTTGCACAAAAGATATGAGCAGGCACACAAAGCAAGCACACCCACAGAAGAAAAGGGTGTGCATGCACAGGGCAGAAAAGATATACTCAGAATCTAAGTTCACACGCTCAGATGGGTCAAGTGCATACACAGAGGAAAAAGATAGGCATATATGCTGGAAACAGTTAACAGAGAAAAAGGGGATAGGTATACAGACACCACCCACCCACTCTGGGAAACCAGTATAGACCTCCAGGAAAAGGCAGAAAGGACTATACAGTCTGAGGGCTCAGGTATACGCACACAGAAAGCAGGTAGGTAGACATCGAAGAGAACTGCACACAGGGTGGGCACTGCCTGGCCCCGTGTGGCTCAGCGGTTGAGCATTGACCTAGGATCCAGGAGATTGTGGTTCAATTCCTGGTCAGGCAGCATGCCCCGGTTGCAGTCAGGGGGATGCAGGAGGCAGCTGATCAATGACGACTCATCATTGGTGCTTCTATCTCCCTCTCCCTTCCTCTCTCTGGATATATATACATACACACACACACACACACACACACACATAAAGGGTGGGCACTGACATATACGGGACAGACATACACTTTCCGGGAAACAAGTGAACACGCACGGAGGGCAGTCGCCCCGAAAAATCTTTCGGTAAGGATGTTGGGTCAGGATGCCTTACCTCTCTATTATTTCTCTCCATGAAGGCTATGGCTGCTGGGCTGACCATATGGTCCTTCATTTCCTGGAGGTGAGGACAGTACACAGAGTAAAGACACCCCAACCTCCCCACCCTCACCCCATCATAACCTCATCTCACCTGGACCGCCTCCCGCATCCGCTCCACGAACACCCTTCTCTCTTGCAGGTCCCCAGCTGGGAGCCTGAACTTGCCTGGGTTGGCTTCCACTATGCGTAGGCCGCGATTCAAGAGTCAAGGCCACAGCCACACACAAGCCCGTCATCTACCTCAAGGCCTTCAACCCCTCCCTGGTGTCCAGACTCCCAGCTCCCCCTGCCACCGCAATGGGCTCTCCCAGGCCACCCTCCAATCCCCCAGGATATCGATGGTCTCCTCCAGGTCTTCGAGGTCCCACTCGATGCTGCGCAGGCCATTTCGCAGCTCATTGGTCGTCCAGTCCAGCTCCTCGCGTCCGACCGCGGCGCCCTCCTGCAGGAGCTCACACCAGCGCTGGTACAACCCCCGGGCTGTGTTCACTGCCTTCTGCACCTCGCTGCAGGCAGGAGCACAGCGGGCGCGTCTGTGGGGCAGGAGGGCCTCCAGCCCGCCGCTGCGCCCCCAAATGACTGGGGGCTCAGAGGACCCCCACATCACCCTGCGTACCTCGCCCACGACCACCGGGTGATCCCCACCCGCACACCCCAAGACCGCTTGGCATGCTGCGGCCTGCATCCGGGCACTGTGTGGCAGGGGTCCGAGAAACCTCTGCCCTCCTCCATCACTGTTACTCACCCTCGAACTACAAAAAACGGGTCTTCGAGAGACATGTCACCGTCCCTCCCCGTCGGAGGCCGAGCCCCCTCCCCTCCGGGCCTTGAAGGCTGGTTTTCCTGCAGAGTTGGAGAACACGCCACCACCCACGCCCCCGTCACGTGACCCGTATCACCATCGAGAGTGGGGCCACGAGGAGAGAAAGAGAGGCCTCAGAAGCCGGAAGTGAGGAACTCCCGCCCCTTCCGCGGCCATCTTGGTTGTGGGCAGAGACGGCTTTCTGCGCGCATGCCTCTGCCCTTGGCGTCCGAGTACCCCGCTGCCCCCAGCCTTTCCCTAGTTCTGCTTGGGCTCTAGACGGAATTCGGGAACTCTGTAAGCCCGAGACCCCGCCCCTCGAATTGTTGCCACGCAACCTGTTTCCCTTCTCGGCAATGTAAATAATAATAGCCTCCCAGAAATCAGACGAGATTATGGCTGGGGAAGGGGCTCGTTCGATTCGTAAATCCTCAACGGACTCCTTGAGGCTTCATCCGGATCCTGTCCAGGGAGATTGTCCCAGCCCAGGGCCGGGAGTGGCAGGTTTGGGAAGGGCTGGGGGAAAAGGTGGTCGTCCCCACCTTCCCGCGGGCGGAGTGAGGCGCGGACAGTTTGTGGGCAGTTCTGCTGGACTCTCCTCCTCTTTTTTACTGCGGAGGAGGGGCACATCGAGATCATCCTGGGGCGGAATGGCCGTTAGTGGGCGCCCCGGATATGCGCCCACTGGGGGATGAGGTCTTACTGGGTGCGAGCCTGGGAGTCGCGGGTAGGGGTGTGGTGGTGGCTCTGATGATTGTCTCCAGAGCTGGAATCCTCTGCGTGTGGGGTCTTCCCCTGGGGAGGGGCCAGGAATGTTTGGAGAGGAACTCAGAGTCTCTGTCACACAGCGCCGTTCTTTGCGGGGTCTAGGGAAAGCACTTTTTTT